AGGGGGCCAGGCGGGAGCTGGTCCGGGAGGGGAGCCCTTTTAAACCCCAGCCCCCTTTGTGGACCAGCTGCCTGTTGCCACACACAGCTGCTTCTGATAAAGAGGCAGCAGCGTGGGGTGGCAACAGCCCCAGTCTAGTGGGGATCTGAGCTCCCAGACACAGCATGAGCCACAACTGAGCGCAGCTGCCTGCCCACCTGGCTCCTAACACACTTTAAATGCAGAGCCGCAGCTGGGGTAGGTCCCGGACCCATCGCCAGCCAGGACTGAGCCGGGCTGCAGGTCAGCCTGCTAAAAAACTTACTGGCAAGGGGCGGGGGAAATGTGTGTCGTCTACAGCATGAGCCGATAAGCTTTGTCTTATTGGTTAATTGACTATGCACTTACATCCCTAACCGCCGCTAGCCCTGCGTGGTACCCACCGAGTGACCTGGGAAGGGCCCCGCATTGCTAGTGACTCCCCGCTGCATAGACCCTGCTTCAGAACCAGCCACAGAGTCACTGTGGTGCAACATGAACAGAAAACCTGACGTGCACAAAAATGGCTGGAGGGTTTGACGTCAGACTCCTCCGGGCCCCAGCAAGCAGACATGCAATCTCCATGCCACTGATTGTGAGCAGGAGTGATTCAGGGGAGAGGGAGGAGGAAATCACTAATATAGGGTTGGAGTGGGTTAGCAGTTCTTGCCATAGTGACCCTAATAATCCTGCCTCTGGTTATTGACTCGCTGCACAGACTTTTCTCATAGCTCTGTAGGGTGAGTTATGGGCAGGGCTCGACAAACTATGTAATCTACTCGCCCGTGACGAGTAGGTTACATCCTGGAAGAGCCGGGTTTGGGCGATCTGCACATGCGCAGAACGCCGGACAGCACGGCTGGAGAGCAGGGCTTGCTGCAGCTCGGTGAGCCCTGGTTATGGGTGACCCGACTAGGGTTGCCAAATGCTTTCACAAAAAATACTGAATATGGCAGGAAAAAAATTGGTTAAGCAAAACAAAAAAAGGGGGGAGGGGCAAAGTTGTTGAGCACAAAAAATCTGCAAAAAAAAAAAAGAGTCACTGCATCTTTAAATCCCCTCCCACCCCAGATGTGGCAGAGGAAGAATGTCCCATGTGACCTTCCGTCCAATACATGTCCGGTATTTTTCTAGTGGACAGAGGCCGCAAATACCAGACTGTCTGGGCCAATCCAGGACACCTGGCAACTCCAGACCTGAGTGCTGCTCTCTCTGGTGCTGAAAGGGTTACACCACAGTGCAGGCTTCCAGGGAGTTTCCTTTTAGCAGCCGTATTTAGGGGAAGAAAGGTCTGTGTGTAGGAGGTGAATCAAGTTATCACATTTGAAAATTAGAAAAGCCAAGGTATCAAACGAGATCAGACTAGCTGGAGACATAGAGGGTACCAAGAAAACATGCTACACATGCATTGCAAGCAAGAGAAAGACCGAGGACAGGGGCAGCCTGTTACTCGGGGAAGGGGGGAACCCAGAAAAGGTGGAAATAGCAGAGGTGCTTAATGATTTCTTTGTTTTGGTTTTCATCAAGAGGGTTGGTGGCCATTGGATGTCTAACGTAGTGAATGTCCCTGAAAAGGGCCCAGCTTCAGAAGCTAAAATAAAGCAAGAGCAAGTTAAAAATGACTTACACAAGTTAGATGGCTTCAAATCACCAGCGCCGGGTGAAATGCATCCTAGAGCTCCAGGGGGCTGACTGAAAAGAGAGCTGAGCCTTTAGCTACCGCCTTTGACAAGGCATGGAGGACGGGAGAGATTCCAGAAGATTGAAAAAGGGCAAACACAGGGCTTATCAATTAGGGATGTTAGTGTACAGCTGTTTAAACAATTAACCAACGTGCTTAAGATTATGGGTTAAGCCAAATGACAACGTGCACTCCCTCCCTTTGCTGGCTCTGATACAGAGGCAGCAAGTGGGAGCGAAGATGGGAGCCAGTTCCTGCAGAGCCGCCTCCCTCCCGCGGCTGCCTCAAGGGGGAAGGTGCGTGTAGTCGTTTGGATCAACCGATAAGTCTAGCCTTTAAGACAGCTCCCCCCAAGTACCGGATCCTGCGGACCCACCTGACCCCACCCCGAGCTGCTGCCTCTGATAGAGAGGCAGCAGTGTGGAGGGTGAGGGAGGCAAGTGGGAACTGGACTTGCCAGTCTCTGGAAGGGTTTGGAGTTTGTTCCTCTCCTGGGAAGCCAAACGCAGAGCAGGGGGAAATGTGTCCCCACCCTGCAGAATTCCTGTTATAGCCAAGAGTGTTAAGCTGGACATCTTACCCATGAATTATTTTCCCCGTGCTGCCTCCCACAGAGGAAGCAGCGTAGAGCGGCAGGGGGTTCCCTAGGAGTGGTGCCAGTCTCTGGAAGGGTTTGGAGTTTGTTCCTCTCCTGGGAAGCCAAACGCAGAGCAGGGGGAAATGTGTCCCCACCCTGCAGAATTCCTGTTATAGCCAAGAGTGTTAAGCTGGACATCTTACCCATGAATTATTTTCCCCGTGCTGCCTCCCACAGAGGAAGCAGCGTAGAGCGGCAGGGGGTTCCCTAGGAGTGGAGCTGGGACCCCGCCCCCGTCTCCAGGGAGTATTTTAGTAACCATGTAAATGCTAAACATTGTTGTGGCTAAACAGATACA